CCCCAAAACCCCAAAACCCCAAAACCCCAAAACCCCAAAACCCCAAAACCCCAAAACCCCATATAAACTCTCCCCAATAGAATAATAAAAACTAAGTAGCTGCTAACAACATGGATACTATAAAGCAAGAATCCCAATTCTTTTCAAAACCAGGTACGAGTCTAGTACGAATCGTACTAAATTTATACGGGTTTTAAGCACAGGCTTCCTCTCCAAGTCATGAGCCAGCCCAAGGCTGGCGACTTGTGGCGAAGCCTGAGGGGCAATCGAGAATAATTTGTAGAATTAGCGATAAGACCTCAGTACTGATGTAGGATATAGGCCTCCTAGAGTCTGAAGAAGACCACTATTCAAAGCAATCAACAGGGGATGTAGAGAAAATTTACTGTGACGAAAATGTTTATGCCAGTGACGAAGAGGATGGTAATCATTGAAATGTTCTCTGAGGTTTTATTATCTTACGATAGAATTAGATTTCATTAAGAGTGGTGGTCTAAATTTTGCTTTTAAGGATATACATTCTTCTTAACTCGCAAAAAGTGTACTAATTGACTAAATTTACCTTACTCCTCATTTATATTTTCGTCCCACCAGAATATGTTGATTCATAAAAATTATGAAATTCTTAAAGGGTTCCAATAACTCTATTTTTCACCTATTAATCCAATTTAATATCATAACATGTATTATATAGACAGTAAAAAGGTAAGCAGCAATCTTCCCAATCGGCCATAATGGCAACTTCAACAGTCAAAATTCTTCTAAATTGCCCAGACTATTAACCTGAATATAGCCCGAGATATTAACTCCTGAAAACACTCGTAAAGATTTTATCATCAAGAAGCAGTATTTCATTTCATACAAAAAGGAAGATATTCATAAAGACTTTGAATTCGACCCTGAACCCTTAGGTGAAGGCACCTATGGCATTGTCTACAAGGCTGTTGACAGACTTACACAAGAAGTGAGGGCGATTAAGAAGATAGATGTCAGTAACCTTACAGGCGAGACTTCTAAGTGACTAAATGACCTTGAAGAATCTGAAGTCTCTGAAAAGAACAAAAAATTTTACCGTACTTTTATCAATGAGCTTTCATCTCTGAAGCTGCTAGATCATCCAAATATTATCAAGCTACATGAAGTGTACGAATGCTGAAACTCAATTTACCTAGTCCAAGAATTTTGCAACGGTGGAGAACTTTTCGATTTCATAGTTGAGAAAGGAACCATTGATGAGCCCACAGCAGCAGAAATCTTCAAACAAATGGTTGGAGCTATAATATATTGCCATAAAAATAGAATATGCCACAGAGATCTCAAGCCTGAAAACTTCATGCTTTGCTCCAACGGTGATGGCTGGAAGGTAAAGCTCATAGACTTCGGTGTTTCAAGGAGCTACTTTAAAATGGAGGAAAATATGGGAATCATCCGTATGGCTAGTGTCATAGGGACCACACCATACATGGCACCTGAAGTCTTTGAAGAGAACTATTCCAACTCCTGTGACACTTGGTCACTCGGAGTCATCCTCTATATCATGGTTGCAGGGTACCCTCCCTTTGAAGGTGATAATGAGGAAGAAATAGAAGCGAAGATTAAGCTGCTAGATTTCTCGTTTGACGATGAAATTTGGGTAAAAATTTAGTGTAAAATTTTAGGCTGAACTCAGTGATAAAGTGAAAGACTTAATCTCAAAACTACTTACTGAAGAACACTATAGAATCACCCCTAAGGAGGCTCTGAAGCATGAATGGTGTGTAACAGAGAACCCATTCCCAGTTTCAAGGGCGAATAAAACTCTAATTGATAGATTGGTTCGATTCCGTCACTGAGGAAGACTAAGAAAAGCAGTTGTAGGATATCTAGCTTCCAAAGTCTCAGATACTGAGCTTCAAAAAGAGATTGACTTTTTTAATTTGTTAGATACCAATAAAGATGGGTACATCACAAAGAAAGAGCTAGAAAAAGGTCTAAAGAACTACCTTGACATTGACAATGATCTCATAAATTCAATTATGGCCAGTACCGATACAGAAGATAAAGGAGCTCTCAGCTTCAATGAATTTATAGCAGCAGTCCTCAGCGACAAAATCACCAAAGATCACACTAAGATCGCTCAGGCATTCCAATTCTTCAATAAAGGTAAGATTTTATATCCAAAAATGCCATTTTCCTCTTCTACACTCCCAAAAATCAAAAATTTCAAAATCCATTATCACTACCTCATCTTATAGCCTCTGACGGGTACATCACTGACAAACAGCTGAAAGCCTGCCTCGCTGGCTCCGAGTTCAAGCATATAGAGACCAAGGTCTTCACTGAAGTTATTAATGAAGTCAGCCAAGACCAGAACGGAGCGATTAAGATGAAGGATTTTATGAGAGTGATGTCAGTGAAATTCGAGAATAAGTTGGAAGGGAAGGGGAAGAAGAGGTCGAGGATAGCGACTGACTGGGATAATGAGAAGGGGGAGAGTGAGTAATACTACAATAAAATATTTCAAAATCATTAAAATTTCACAAATTCTAAGATTCAAAGGGATCACTTCTAAACATTTAAACTTCCTCGTCTCTAACTAAAACCTACAAATCAAGTGCGATTAAAGCCCTTAGCCTCTCAAATCTGATCTTTATAAACCCAACAAATCCAAGCATATTTCGCTCATATTTAAAATAATGCATATCAACTAATCCCTTCAACCTCTCTAAATAACTAGGGGTTTTGGGGTTTTGGGGTTTTGGGGTTTTGGGG